TGTTTATTGGAATCAGATGATGGGAATGCCTATTAAGTAGGCTAAAGAAAATCTGGCTTTATCTTACAATCAGTATAAAGTCATGCAGAAAAGACAAGCAAATCAGGGTTATAATATTAATTCTGAAATGGAGTATAAGATGGACTAGTGAGGTGACATAATAACTGACTAGACCAGTGGTTCCCAAATCCTGCCCGTGGACAGATATTAGTCCATGATGATTTTTTTAATGGTCCTTAGCAAAATGAGAACAATTAGTAATAATGTACAAAAAAAGGTAATATTCATTTATACTGATCTCAATTGCATTTCACTTTTATATTTTTATAATATTTTGCAGACCTGTGACACACAAAAGCCTGGGGACGACAAGGCAAGAAGGCAGGACTGTGATTTGGGCAAACAAAATAAAAAGGAAGAAATGAATGTAAGAACAACTGCAAACAAAAAAATGAAGGATGTGGTGAATGAGTGAAGACAAAGAAGGAAGAGTAAAAGATAGCTAATATTTTAAGCCTAGTCTCATTGTGGTACTACCAAAAAATGGAAAGATCAAGAAGGAACTGTCTAGAAGATTCCAGTATATTAAAATATCAAAGAGAGTTTATATGAATTCACTCAGGATAAGGTCCAAAAGCAGAGAATAAATTTCCAGTATTTGTATACACACAAATGCACCAACAATGGGTTAAAATAGAAATACAAATATAAAACACAGTTTTATTTCTATTTATCTTTAGTCTTTTAAGTATGTATTTCAGCCCAATGAAAACTAAAATGAGTGCTCAATCTACAAAGGTCATGCTTGTCTGACAAAAATGAGGAAAAGTTAATTTAATAATTAAATTAATTTAAGCCTGGGTGTAGTGATTCACACCTGTAATCCTAGCACTTTGGGAGACCGAGGCAGGAGGATTGCTTGAGGCCAGGAGTTTGAGACCAGCCCGAGCCAACAATATATAACAATATAAACGATATTGTTTATGTCATTTCTATAAACAATAGAAAAATTAGCCAGGCATGGTGGCATGGACCTGTATTCCCACATACTCCAGAGGCTGAGGCAGGGGGGTCGCTTGAGTCCAGGAGTTTAAGGTTGCAGTGAGCTATGATAATGCCACTGCACTCTAGCCCGGGTAACAGAGCAACACCCTGTCTCAGGGCAAAAAAAAAAAAAAAAGAACTAAATTTAAAACGTTAATTTATGCCTTAAAAACTTAAGGAATAAAACGTTCTACTTAGCAAATTTAATTGAAAACCAGTTATCTGATATAAGACAAACATTTTAACTAATTAAGATTTTATTTTTATTAATACGAATTCAAGTTGAAAAAATATTAGCCTACCACTGCTTGTCTCTGAAAATTTTCTGGAGAAGAGAAAGATCTCTGAATTATCTGTGTTGATGGAGTCATGTTATCCACAGTCCTTTCATACCTGCTTAAAATAAGAAAACCAATATATAATCAATCATTCAATAAATATTTACTAAATACCAATCATTAGCAAGGCGGAGTACTCAAGGTGAGAAAGGACAATTCAGACAAGGTATCTGCTCTCATGGAGCTAGAAGAATATAGACAATAGGCTATTTTCACACAGTTATAAGATAAAATATTATGATTCAAGATCAAGTGAAGGTGAAAAGAGACAGGTTCTATTTTAGCTTGGCTAGCCAGGGACTGCCTTTCTAAAAAGGACACATTTGAAAGGAGAGCTAAATACCAACACTACCAGGAGGCAAAACCTTCCCAGCTGAGGGAAAGGCTAGGATGTGAGTGAGCAACTATGGCCTGTGGGCCAAATTGCCAAATTTAGTTTTCCTAAACAAAGTTTTATTGGAACATAGCCATATTCTTTTGTTTTTTTTATTATCTATGGTTACTTTAGTGGTACAATGGCAGAGACAGAGACTGTATGGCCTGCAAAGTGTAAAATATTAACTATATGCCCCTTTATAGAAAAAAATTGTCAAAGTGCAAAGGCTTAGATGATAACCAAAATGGAAAGAATTTGATTGACTGGATATGAGGGAAACAGAAGAAATAAAGTATAAAAACTAGATTTTTGGCTTGATCAATTGGGTAAACATTTACTGAAACAGAAAAGAGAAACAAGTTTTGGGAGGTAAGGAATTAGAGTTCTGTAACATACATAGTATATTACTTTTAAAGATTTATACCTTAATTCCTCCCTTCCTAAAGAGGTAACATGCTCTACAGAAAACTCAGTTTAAAAATGTTTGAATTATTTTAAGACATCTTTGGAATCAGATAACCAATGGTTTGTCTCCCAGTTTGGATCTTTTTATTTTGGGATTTCTTAAATCAGGTTATGTATCTTTATATAAGCTAATGGGGAAAAGTAAAATTTAATTTATATTATCAAAGAGTATAAAAATAATAAACTCTCTATACTAATAGGTAGTCACAAAAATATGTGTCTTCATCCAGACTTTAAGCTCCACCAGGCAGTTTATCATAGTACCTGGGCTCTATCACACTGCCTGGGTTTGAATCCAGCCTATTACTTATAAGCAGTTTATACTTGAGCAAGTTAACCTCTATTCCTCATTGCCTTCACATATAAGGTAGAGATCATAATCCCTACTTTCATAAGACCATTGTGAGGAATAAATGAGATCATACATGTAAAAGACTTGGTGGTGAAGAACCTGACACATGACAGGTACTTTGTTATATCTTTCTTGAACTAAGCCCATTATGACTGAAAAAACTGAATATACTACAAGTTGTAAGGGTAAGTAATGTTTTGAGAAATTTTGTTTCAATTGTATACATGTACTGTACATGCGTATGTAGGCATGGGTATGGCTTTACAAATGAACATATAATCACATATCTACCTATTTTAAGGGAACTTAATGTGTCTGTCTATAGTCCCTTTAGAATAGATAGAGCTATATAACAATAGAAGAAAAAGCTTAGGAACATAAAGAAGAAAGAAAAAGAAGCAGAAGAAAAAGATAGGAACATAAAGAAAGAAGCTATCCATTCATACGTTTTGAAACCATTATCCAAGATAAATTATTTTAACAATATGTAAGAAATATTACCTGCTAGGGGATGTAGAGTTAGGACTTGAATTTCCAACATGATGCTGGGGATATGACAAACTGACATCCTGCGAGGCGTGACTACTTCCTAAAAACGGGGAATAATGTAAAATATTCTTCTTGATAGAAAAGTTAATTTGAAATTTTATCTCCTGTACCCTCAATCACTCCAAAAGGGTAAACACAGTCTAAAAGAGAAAAGTTTCAAATTGCTGTAGACTGCTTTACAGTTTCATCAGAGTGAAACTGTAAGTGTATATAATACGAGATATGCAAAACAAAGCATTCCAAACAAGGTACTACCTGGTGTATAAACATCCAATCTGGTCATAATATTCTGATCCCCACACTAAATTCTAAGACTGGATACATGGAAAGATTCATCCTCACATGATCAAGAATCAAAATACATAAAAATAAATTACAAAGCAGCCAGAAGTATTTTCAGCATTAATCTTTGCTTCTTTCAGAGCACCCAAACCCAACTCTCTTAGCAATCTAGTTTATGTTCCTCTCACTAATCCAAATTGAAATTTTAAACTCAGTTTTAAAATTACAATTTTCAAAATCCATGTCAATATTACCCATCAGTGATACACAAAGTTTGCTATTTAGAAAGCTTAAGAAAGGATTTGCAAACAAAAAAGAAATTCTTCACAACAATAAATTTAAAAACAAAAACAAGCAGTAAACAACCTGCCCCCACCCACACAGTATCATTAAACAGTTAGTTACCTGATCTAAACTGAATTTTGATGGGCCTTCCAAAAAGTTTGATTCCATTAAGTAGATTCATTGCATAAGGAACAGATACTTCATGTTTGAAATTCACAAATGCAAATTGCTTTGGTTTACCATCCTTATCTTTTGGAATTTTCACCTTTATTACTGGCCCAGCCTACAAACAAGTGTTTAGAACTTAAACAGGGAAATTTCAGGAAAATACTCAAATTTTACAATTAAAAGAGACTACGAAGTTAAAAAACAAACGTAATCAAAAACTCTTTTCTTAAAATGATGCACATAGATTTCCATTTTGATTAGAGTAAAAATATTAGTTATGACTGAAAATGAGATTAACTTATTTGGGGAAGGGTTGCACATAAGGAACCGGAACACAATCACTTTTACAATTTACAGCACTGTGAGACTTTTCAAGGAGGCGACAAACACCCATCATTTTCCCACTCCACGGAAAAGAACGTTTATCAAGAGCAGGAAAATGATTTTCTCGGGACTAAAAATTCACTTTTGTATTACTAATGACACAATACTAGTCATTAGGGGATAGGGCTGGGGGAAACAAGACTTACAATTTTTCACCTATTTTAATAAAGAAGCATTAAAACCCTGCTTTTCTATCGGGTATTTGAGTCTATTTTAAATATTTTAATAACGCTACAATTTCATTTGGCAACTTAGGTGGAAAATAGACAATGACAAGTAAACTGAAACGTAACTTCCTAGACAGATAAACAAACCAAAGACACCATAAGAGGGAGATGAGGAAAAAGCACTGCTCAACGAAGATCCCGCACGCATTGTGTCCCACAGGACCCCTCAATCTTCACCTCAGGAACGCTCGAATGAGGATCCCTCCACCACCCTGAAGTGTTGTCACTTCTGACCAGAACTAATCGCGGTTCTTTTAATACACCAAAACCCAGCAAGCGCCTCACCTCCCAAGGGCGCCCTTCACCCCCAAACAGCCGACCAGCCGGATCCCCTGACGGACTGCCACGCTCGCGCGAAGAAAGCGGGGACAGCCGTTGGGCCGGGCCCTCGGCGAACAGAAAAACGAAAGGCAAAAGGGCGGATCCCAGCCGCTTACCTGGTGGAAAAGCTCGAAAAGCAGCTCCTCGGTCACTTTAGTCTCAAGGTTGCCCACAAAGAGAGTGCGGTCCGCTTCCGCAGCCGCCGCCCCCATCTCAGCGTCGCCCCCTCCCTAAGCTGGCCGAAGGGTCGTGGCCGACGCACCCACTGCGCACGCTCAGCAACCCCACGTCCTCGCGCTCGCAGGCGTCACCGGCGTAAACGTCTCTCACGCTCGCTCTCGGCCGGCGTCGACGTGCGTGGGCAGACTGCGCATGCTCGCGAAGGGAGCGCTCGTTAGAGGCGGCTTCTCGATCTGCCGCAGCTTTAGTTATGGCTTCCAGTGTAGGTAGTTGTCGCGTTCCAAACGGGCAGGACTGATTCTGTGGAGCCGCGAAGGGCCTACCTTGACCGAGGGACGTAACGCAATTTACTGCGGGCAGTGTTTGAAGATGGCGCAGAGCAATGTGTCCCTGTCTGCCGGCGATCAAGGGAACAGAGTGGCCTACCGCGCTTCCTACGGCGACCTCACCCGGTCGGCCTCGGCGCTCGCGATGGTCTCCGGAGACAGCTTCCTAGTTGCCAGGCCTGAGGCGATTCATCTGGGACCTCGGGAGGCGGTGCGACTGAGCGTTCGAGCCGAGAGTCGTCGACTGACTGCTGGCGGCCGGAGCCTGACCCGCTTTATAAAGGGGAGGGAACCAGATAGTCGGAATCGAAGCCGCCAAGCCAGATTCTCGCCTTACCCAGTGCCTGGGGTTAAACTCGATCTCCTAAGAAGTGTGCTCCAACAGCGTTTGATTGCATTAGGAGGTGTCATCGCAGCTCGCATTTCAGTTTAAAAGGAATGCTCTCTCTCCGCCCCTCAATTAGCTTGTGAACAAGGCCTTTCTAAAAATCCTTTCTTGGTGTAACAGCAGTCTTATTTTTAGAGGGTTGTGTTTTCATTTTATGTAATACATAGGAGTACTGTCAATATATCCTGGCACAAAGGGGAATTTTACTGTTGATTAATTCAGGTGGTCTTAGGCGGCCAGAATGATTGGGTTAGGAAGGAGGTGGAAGGGATTTTCTTAAGTAGTTATTAACAAAGCTGAGTTGATGAGACCACCCTCCCCCAGAGAGGGTTTTGTTAACATCTTTACAACAAGAAATCCAAATTTATCCCAATTTCCTCAAGTCTCATTTCACATCCTCAGCCTACTCTCTCACTTGGAGACTTGTAATTCCAGCTTCCTTAACTGCCTCCCCTATTTATCTCAGATTCTTCCCCTTCTGTTAGTGAAAAAGAAATGCTCCTTTTTATTACACTGGCTTATCCTGCCATCTTTTACCCAGCACTTACCATCTTCCATCTCACCCTTCACTTTTTTCCAGGAATATCTACAAACTCCAGGTTCCATCACACTAAAAACAAGAAAAAAACAAAAAAGACCTTGAAACCTTACAGTTCTTTCAAATTATTAAACCACTTTACATTCCTTTCTTTGCCGAAGTCTCCAAATAAATGTTTACTTTATATTTGTAGTTTTTCTATTTGCATTCAGTAACACCTTAATCTGAATTTGCTGTCCCAAAATACATTGGTTGAAGCATTAGACCTACATTCTTCCTTCAGAAAACAGTTCATCTATTCTCTGTAGCATCTTCCTTGAAATTTCTCGTCTTTACTCATTCAACTATTCAACAATATTTGTGGGTCTTCTCTTTGGTTAACACTGTGGATGAACTTCACACAGTCCTGCCATCAAGGAGTGTATTCTAGATGTGGAGGCTGTTCATTAGGTACAATGATAAAAATAAGTACGGGTTGCAGTAGCTTTCCATAATACTGCACTGTCTTGGTTCCCCTAGCTAGTTTATCACTCTTATTTGCTGATAATTTTGTTCTCTTAACTGTACATTCCCTGATGTTTAAGGGGTGGTATTGAGGGAAAGTTAGTGGGGTTTTAAGTGCCAGCTCTTATAAGCAATTAGACTAGTTTTTTCATAGTGGATTCTTGTCTGTTTGGACTTTCTTAAAATGTTTATGTTCAGATAAGCAAAATTGCCACACACCACACAGCATCGAATTATTAGAGTCATATCTTAAGATCTTATGTTGATAAACCAGATAGCTTCCTATAAGAGAATGATTAATATAGTGAAAGGTCTAGAAACCAGGTTATAGGAAGAATGGTTGAAAGAATAATAATAGCTACCTTTTATTGAATAGTGTATACAAGTCAATTGCACCACTAGGGCTTTATTCATTGTTTATTGAAACTTATTCTGTGCTTGCATTAGGCATTTAGAATAAAGTGGTAAACACGATAGGTAAGATCTCTGTTCTTATAGAGCCTTGTATGTGTTGATTCTCACAGCAGTTCATAAGAGAGGTGTTGTACTTTCATTTTGTAGATGAGAAAGTGAGCCTGAAGGAGATGAAGTAAATTTAACAAAGGTCATACAGCTAGTGAATGATGATAGAGCTTTGCAGCCTTTCAAATGAGGCTTCTCATCTGAACATAAAAAGTGATTTGAGTGACTATTTTCTCAGTTTTCCCAAGGATAATCTATAGCTGGTACTATTTCAGATACCTAAAAAGTTAGTTCAGGCCGGGTGCAGTGGCTTACACCTGTAATCCTAGCACTCTGGGAGGCCAAGGCAGGCAGATTGCTCGAGGTCAGGAGTTCAAAACCAGCATGAGCAAGAGCGAGACCCCGTCTCTACTATAAATAGAAAGAAATTAATGGCCAACTATATGTATATAGAAAAAATTAGCCGGGCATGGTGGTGCATGCCTGTAGTCCCAGCTACTCGGGAGGCTGAGGCAGCAGGATTGCTTGAGCCCAGGAGTTTGAGGTTGCTGTGAGCTAGGCTGACGCCACGCCACTCACTCTAGCCTGGGCAACAAAGCGAGACTCTGTCTCAAAAAAAAATGATAAAAGGTTAGTTCATATTATACAATGGATTCCTTAGTCTAGCAAAAACATCTGGTCGAAAAAGGAATTCCAAGCTGTATACTCTGAGTTTTAGGCTGGGGAAGAAGAATAAAATTAATGCTGAGGATAAGGAGGACTTTCTTTAAATTTGGAGATGCCTAATAGTGGAAAATACTACCTCAAAAGGTAATGAATTGCTGTCAGAAAGTTCGAATAAAAAATCATGTAAAGGATTTTGTCGAAGTGTGAAATAGGACTAGATGATTCTGTTTGGTCTCTTCCGACTCTCTACTTATAATCTATACTTTGAATAAAAACTGGTAAACTTGGCTCAGCGCCTGTAATCCTGCCTATGGACCCGGCAGGCGGCATTGCTGGAGTTCAGGGTTCGAAACAGCAGGCAAGAGCGAGACCCCGTCATAATACTATAATTGGGGAAAGAAATTGAGTTGGCAACTAAAGAATGAACTATACAAAAATTATCCGGGCATGGCAATGGCTCGCTCCCGCTCCGCTCTACTCGGGACGCCTCGACCGGCAGCCGGATCGCTTGAGCCAGGAGTTTGAGGTTTGCTGTGAGAGGCTGGAGCCACGGCACTCACTCTAGGCTGGGCAACAAAGTGAGGTACTCTGCTCAGAAAAAAAAAATAAACTTGGTTAAAATTGAAAATGGGGAATTGGGGGATGAGAAGAGAAAAATTGGGTATGATACGGAGGATGACCATATCAGCAAACCAGGACCCTTGAGAGTGGAAGAGGATGCTGTCAATTATCCTGAGGTGACAGGCATAAATAGGGGCTATCCTAGGCAGACCAGTTGGTTTATAAAAATCATCACCTATGAGATGATTCAGTATTAAAAATTCCTTTGTAGCATATTCCTTAGCTCATCGGGGAACAGAGGATGAGATTTGTAAACAAAACTCTGACATAAGAGTACACAAAAGTGCATAAGAGCTTCTGGCATAGGGTCGTCAGGAGTAGGGCTTTAGTTAAATAATAATGTATGCACCAGAAAAAAAGAAAATGGCTTATTGTGTTTTGTTTCGTTTGGCGGAAAGAGAACCTTGGTCACAAATGCTCTGGTATTTTAAATCTGAGTCAATGGATATCTACGTTGTCTTTGTTCTTAACATCTGCAGAAGCATCCAAGTTCAAACATGTCCCTCAAGTCACAAAGACTGTATTGTAGAAGCAAGAATCAATATAGATGTCTTTCAATGAAATTGAAGGGTCAACTAAGTTTTCCCAAGAGCAGGCCATATTATTAAAAATCCATATATTATTGTACAAAATTAATTTTTATTTAATATCAGTGATAAAACAGCATGATATCATTTTAAATAGATGAGTTCAAAGAGTTGTCCCCAAAATTAATAGTTTTGTAAGTTTTTTTTTTTTTCCTTTGGAGGCACATGAATCTTGCATTGTTGCCCAGGTTGGAGTGCAGTGGTATCATCTTAGCTCATTGCAATCTCAGACTTCTGGGCTCAAGGGATCCACCTGCTTCAGGCTCCTGAGTAGCTGGAAATACAAGAATGCAGCACCATGCCCAGCTAATTTTTTTAGTTTTTGTAGAGACAAGAGTCTCGCTATGTTGCTCAGGCTGGTCTTGAACTCCTAGCCTCCTCCTGCGTCAGCCTCCCAAACTGCTAGAATTACAGGGGTGAGCCACTATACCTGGTCTACTTCTGTAAGTTTAAAAAGCCATTGTAACTCAGTTTGTTTTTATTGCCCCTGCTTATATTAATCAACTGGCTAGCATGTGTTGAAATGGAGTCCTGTTAGGATATTTACTTCTACTCGTCAGCACTAAAACTAAAATGAAAAGTTTAAAGAACTCTTAAGAAATTGGGTTTTTTTGTTTGTTTGTTTTTGTTTGTTTGTTTGTTTTGTTTTCTATATCCACTTGAGATATAGAAAAAAAGGAAACCAATGAGACCATTTCCTTCAGTGGCCAGATCTGGTGATAAGCATAACTCTAAAAGGGGCTACCTAGAAGGAAGAAAGGGAAAGAAAAGAGAGAGGAAAGTCCAACTGAGGGGAAAGTAAGTGATGGTCAAAAGCAGGGGTCCTCAAACTTTTTAAACAGGGGGCCAGTTCACTGTCCCTCAGACCGTTGGAGAGTGCAGCGCACATTCCACACATGCACACTGTGGGCCCAGGACCAGTCAGCTGTTAAGCAAGGACAGGGACAGGCAGCATGGCAAAAACACCTAGTGGGCCGGATAAATGTCCTAGGCAGGCCGCATGTGGCCCGAGGGCTGTAGTTTGAGGACGCCTGGTCAAAAGCCTCAATTGTCTTCTCATTAACCACTTCAGTAAGGTGCTCACCGGCGGTGAAGCCGGCACTCTAGTCCATTTTGCTCTTGTGTGATGAGGAAAGCTTTAAAGCACTGAAAGCTTGTTTTTATTATGTTATTTTTAAATGTTCACACTTTTATTTTGATAAATGAAAAATTAGAATTCTAATAAAAGCTGTAAAAGTAAAAGCTTTTGACTGTCGACTAAAGTCGACACTCGGTCATATCACAGCTGTTGGCTACAGTCGATGCTCGGCTGTGCGCTTTCATCTGTGGCTATAGACTATAGTCGACGCATGTACCGAAGTGGTTAAAATTAATTGTGTATCTTTCATCTCTTTGGTGAATTACCCAAATCTCACTAAGATGCAGTTTTTGTCTTCCCAATTTCTATGGAAAGTGTGCCCATTTTCCTAGCCAACCAAATGTATGTTTGGCTACTTATGAATCCAAACCACCCATGTCCTGTCCATATTGTCTATTTTCATTTAAAGTCCTACTACCCAATTTAAATTCGCAATATGTTATGTTTCTATAACCACTCTTGTCAACTGGACTGTGTCACCTGGGCATGTAGCCTGTTTTCTTTGCCTCTGTCTCTCTACTCCATCCTAAATGTATATAGCCTCAGACTAATATTCCTAAAGCACGTCTCTGGTCACATGGCTACTAC